TTTTTCTTAAGATTGTAGCGGATTGCTACTTTATTAAAGCCTGACTGACTCAGAAATCTCTATGGCAGATCCTCCTACATCTAGCTAGACTCCCAGAACCAGCTTAGCTATAGCTCAGCTATGAAAGGAAACAGACGTGTAGCACGGAGCACGTTTATTCAGTACGCATATTGCGGATAAAGTGTACACGCAGGGAGCTACTCATGATCAGGATGGGGGATTAGGTTAAACAGAGGTTAATGATTGGTCACTGTTTGTACGGTTGCTGCACACAGAGTTGTACGGCCGCACCACCCAATCCTGGCAAGCAGACATGCAGGCATACGATGACGCACACAGCGATAACGTGTCCCACAAGATGAATAATTTACATAATCTGTAAAAAAATTATTTCCGCTAATTCTCTAAATCGGTGACTGAACGAACAAGTAATCAAACTCAAAGGGTAGAGTAATTATTTCTCAAAGAATGCCAAAATAAGTTTGGTATTTTAAATTGCTTAAGATATTTTACCACGAAGAATAATTAACAGGGGCAAAAGATGGTGATGGAGGAATTGATTTGACTTCATTTTTAACCAATTAGCTGCTTTTACTCAACAGAATGGATTTTTCAACTTCAGGACTTGACTTTCCAAAGTATAGACGTAACTTTCTAACTTGAACCTTTGAGTTTTATAAGTATTCAACATTCAATGTGCTCAGAGTCCGCCGACTAATTAGCTTAGGCGAGAGAGTGATCGTAAACGTCTGAATCCATGACTCCGATGATTTAAGGTGAATTATCACTATTTAGCAAATTTTTATTGATATATAAAATTAGCTAACTAACTTAACTTCAACTGGTGGTTTTCACTCTTATGAATGAAAGTAGTCTGTCTGTCACCGTCCAATGTCCTCACCCTTACCGTAAAGCAACAAGATCACGTATCAAGTATCTCGTGAGAAGTTAAAATTGGTTTCCAACTCACATTAATTAAAGCATATCTGCTAACCATTGTATGTACATATGGTGCATCATAAGACCATTTGCTACGGATCTTACTTTCAAATCAAATATTCTTCAAATGTCTGTGGTTTAAATTTTAGCATGCATGATAAACCAAGAATTGTATCAGATTCAAGCAAGTGGTTGCCTGAAAAGAAATTCCGTCATCGCAACTCTGTCCTGACTGATCTTCTAAAGATCCCCCACATCGAAACTCTCTACCATATCTTCGTTGCAGTTCTACTTATATTCACGCTCAACACTTTGCTATCTGATATTGTGGAGACGGGTAGTGTTGCTCATATTTATCATCTGGAGATTGTTATGTGGACTTTCACAGGACTATTCAAGGCTTTCCACTGTTGGTTTATGATGTTTCTCTCAACCAGCTTAGTTGTCTACATGACCTTTACCATCTGGTCAACCAAACGCAGTCAAGTTAGCAAAATTACGAAATTTGATATCCTCTTCGCTGTGATCTACGTAATCTATCAGGTAAAACTTGATGTTGGGAAAATAAAACACAAACCGATTAAATAAGAAAAGAGAATATTGCAGACGTATCATCCTTTCTAGCTACACAAAATTGATCACGCATAAAAGGGTGCAAAAAGGAAGTACGCACTATAGGCTGATCAAAATAAAATTACCTTATAAAACAGCAAACCGACCCTTATTGGTAGAAAAGAGAAGTTAAATCATCGAGACAAACCGTACGAAGTTCTAAGATGCTAGGAGATTTCAATTTCAGGTCTCATTGTGGTCAATATGAGGGCCTACCATGTCAAAAGTCACGAGCTTATTGCTCATTGGTATATTGGCCTACTGTTAATTATGATGTCTGAATATGAGTCTCTTGCCACAGTGCCCCCTATAAGACTTTCGCTCCATTAAATTATCCTGAATAGCCCTCAGTAGGTGCTTGAGAAATTTTAAGGTGATTGAACAGTTAGCATATATCGGAGATAAATTAATAGACAACTGAGGGGAAGAGTTGGTGGATGGGTGAAATCACTTTCAAAGTGTAACATTAAATTATTTCATAATTGTAAAGAAAAGTATTTTACATAACCGTTTCGGAGATGTTCCTAAGATTAACAAATTTTCTTTTCTTACATTACGCCAATTTATTGATTAACCTTGAGATTTGCACTCTTGCATGTTTGCTAATAGCTACAACTTATTTGTAGGTGTTAAGCGTGAAAAAGAGATAAGCCGCACAAATTATGATAATATATTGCTAGTCCCATGTTATAAAGTTATTGACTTTTAATTTACATGTCACTAATTATGCATCAAAATTAGGGGGTTAATGGCAGAATATGGTTATTTTTAGCAATTTATTAAAATTTTGTGCTCATGCAAAATTATGGAGACATAACTCTCCTCTTAAAAGGCGATTAATTTAGTTAACAGGTAATTTTGTAAAGATTGGATGAATAGGAATTCTCAAAGCCTAAAAGAGATTGTAGTAAAGTTTATCATACTTTTTAATTCTACTATTAAATATCTAGAATTTTGGGGGAGAAGATTAGATTTTACTATTTCCTTGTATGTTAGTGTAGTTGTCTTATAATCGTAATAATAAGTAGTGGAATAGTAATGGTGTAGTAAGGGTGTCTTTTAATAGTGACAATTTAAGGAGCAAAGAGTTTTTATTCAATTTTAGGATAATTCACCACTAAATCAATGACATTTTAGTTCCTTTGGCGTCTTGACAAACAGTCAAGGGGTTAAAAACAGAAAGCTTAGTTATAAGTATGACAGACAGGTATCAAAATCGGTATTTCAGTTTAAATTGGATGCATTTAGGAGTGAATGCTAATGAGCAAAATCTCAATCATGTTCAAAGCAGTATTGTGTAAGAGCAGAACCAACCAATATCATATATGACTACTATCCCTATTGATGTAGGTGACCGGGAGGGTAAGTAGAAATCAGAAGTTGGCTAAAAGAAGCTTTGAACATTTGAAACTACTTCCGCTATCTAATTATCAACCACTTGCTGCATTTTACTAGTACTGAATAAATCAATAGTACATTAATGAGATTATTAATGGATTGGAGATGAAAGACCTAATTTGACCTTAAATGATCTTCATAAATTTTCTACTCACTTGGAAGTAATTAATTTTTAAGATGGAAACCTACAGAATACAATATCAGCTCCTAATTAACAATATTTTAATTCAGATTGCTTTCGTCGTCTTACCGGCCCTCTTCATAATCAAATACGATCTCGCACCAGCCTCATCGACAATCGTTTGCTTAGAACAGATTCGCATGATGATGAAATCTCACGCCTTTGTTCGTGCTAACTTTGAGAGCGCTCTCCTTAGTGGTGAGGAAAGCGAAAAGGAAATTAAAAGACGCCGTCGCCAATCCTTCAACTGCAAGGATCGTTTTCCACTTAGTCCATGTAGTGGAGACGAAGAAAACATGGTTGATGAATTCGAAATTACTATGTCAAATGGGGTACCAATCCCGCCTTTTTCCCACTACCTCTACTTCCTATTTGCCCCTACTCTTGTCTACCGTTCCTCCTATCCGCGTACACCGTATATACGTTGGAGGTTTATAGCCATTAACCTTCTCCAAATGGTACTCTGCGTAGTTTATACCTACTTCATTCTAGGCCGATTTTGTTTCGATTATTTTGCGAATTTTGGATGCTCAGCTCAGTTCAGTTTCTCCTTACAACAACTTATTACTTCTTCCTTCGGATGCATGCTTCCTGGAGGATTACTCTTACTTATCAATTTTTACGCCCTCCTCCACTGCTGGTTCAATGCATCTGCGGAGCTACTGCGTTTTGGCGATCGACTTTTCTACAAGGACTGGTGGAATTGCACTAGTTTTGGAGCTTACTATCGAACATGGAATGTGGTTGTACATGATTGGCTGTATACCTACATCTACCGCGACATCTATGCACTTGGAGGACGTTATAGACGCATTCTAGCGCAGACTGTGGTCTTCCTGCTCTCCGCAGTTGCTCATGAATACATCTTGAGTCTTGTGTTCCGATTCTTCTATCCAGTGCTCTTTATTATATTCGGTGGTGCTGGCTTTGCAATTGCAAATATACGGGGCAAGTCAAAGCTCTGGAATATTGGTCTCTGGGCTGGATTGTTAATGGGAATGGGAATTCTAATGTGTCTCTACTCCATGGAATGGTACGCAAGGAAGAACTGTCCTCCTGCTCAGGGCGTCATGGATATTTTTATTCCCAGAAGTTGGTTCTGTGGAAATTGAAATGTTTATGCTGGAATTAGGATTTGATACCATCACGGTGTGAACTTTTAAAAACAAATATCTACTTTGCAAGGTGGAGTTTTTGTTGAAATATCATGACTAGAATCAAGTAACCATAGAAAGACATGTTTGGAAACATTTAGCATTGCAACCACTATTTTTATAAATAAAGAGAAGTAACAATAACTACATCTTTTAATTAAAAAAATTAAAACAACTTGAATTTTTTAGGATGTAAGAAAATAAGGCTCATAGTGAAAAAAACAAAGCCTGCCACTTTCACATTTAAGGAAAGGTTCGTAACTGTCACTCAAAATCTACTAATTAAGACAATAGGTCGCGTGACTAAGGGGGCCCACACAAATACACATTATCATACGAAATTATTTAGATATCCACAAACATATAACCAATGAAAGGCAAGCTAACACCTTAGCGATTAAAATGGTTTTAATTACAATCCATAGGGCCTCAATGTTAACCTTTTCTAAGCACGTGGGGTAAGGAAAATGCTAATTTTTAATGAGTTAAAATAATATCATGGGTTGGCTTTTCAATAAAGAGAAGTTAAGTTTTGATAATAAATTGTATAATTAAATCTGCTTTAAGTGTACTAACATTTTGGATTTTTAATTTCAACTGTCTTTTATAAGTCACGTGTATATTTACTTATATCCCCTGTGCGCCTGAATTTTCAAGCTAATTGCACCAGTTATTGCTGCAAGCAAAACACACGTATCTGGTCTGAGTCATATGAAACAAATTATTTCGACATAGATGTAAATATGCTTCCGTTTGACAGATTAATAACGCATCAACCCTGTTTATTGCTACTTACAAATCTATCCGCTTTTCGGTAAGCACATTGATAAATAATGTGGTGCAAACCCAGTATTCAAGGTAAATCACGTGGAATTTTGTCTAACCGAGCTCATGCATATGAAAATACTTCCTTTCTCTCTGCTGCAAACAAGCACCGACTCCCCAGGTAAATAGCAACGCGTCCACTAGGTTATATCACTGGTTTTCCTTCTCTCATCTCGACTATGGTGACCTTGCCTGCCCAACTAATAATATACAAGGTTACAAATACATCTTTTATTATAAAGCGACAAGTTCTATTGAAGTGAAACCAATTGAGGATTTTACTTAACAAATCAACAATGACCCCACTGGTCCATAAAACACTCTGCTTACCTCTAAGTTATGTATTGTCAATTATGCTTGACTAAAGATCGACTATCTGTTATTGCAGACCAAATTTAGATTTTTGATACGCTGCGAATGGTACTTAATCCAACTGAAATAAGTCCTTAGGGATTTCAGGCAGTAGGAAGTGTTAATGTAAGATCAGATGTACCTCAAGATTCATAAAAATCGAAGTTCGAAAATGGGCATGGATATGAACCAGTGGTTACTAAAAAAAGTGGATGGTAAAAATAGACTCCATGAGAATACAAGTGTACGTGGTTATGAGGACATTCGGATTTGTCGATAAATTAATTGAGGTGAGCACTTGATGAGCCCAGTTAAGTGTAAGAATAAAAAACATAAGACAAGACGTCAAACCGATAATTTAGGATAAGATAAACTGCCGCACTGTACTGAAAATGCACAGGCAATTAATTAGATATCATTCAATTAAGGTATATTTCACCCAGTCAATTTTTAGCTACCCAAGCTACAATGGAGAATAACCCACTTGGAAATATTTCTAATTAGAAATTGTAAGTAGATGCGAAGTTTGGAAAACTTCTTATGATTCAAAAGTCTAAATCCCAATTCAAGTAAAAGTATGAATACAAATAGAAAACCCACTCATAATTGATTGACAGAACAGTAGTTTGCTAGCTGAGAGTATAAGAAGTGCGTATTCACCTAATACCTTTATTCTTAGCCAATCTATCTAGTTTCTATAAGTAGAAAGACCATGGGAAATTATTGATCAACCCAGCTGTTTCACTGCATATGTTTGATCTACAAGTACTGAGTGTAACGATATTAGCAAGGTTGAAACCTTTTAGTAACATCGTAGATTATTGTTGTTAGATCCCTTTATGGTAGAAACTACCAATCCCAATAGGAATAGTAGTTTTCAACGCCCTTCTTGAGTAAGGAGGTGATGCCATTGAGCCTCCCTAATGGGAAATTCGATTTCTGACAGTTCATTAATTAACTGAGCTTAATCAGTGGGGTTGATCTGATATCGCAAATTATTGCGATAACCAATGCATTACAAACGCAAAAGGACACAGGTTTGGTTTTTAAAATGAACATTGAGATTCAACTGTTTCTTTGGTTTTCATAAAAAAACATTTGAAATTTTAATTCAGTGATTAACAAGGATCAGACCTTAAAACGAGAAGTACAGATATACTAGAATCATGATCTAAACATAGGACCATGACCAGGGACAATATAGTCAGCAAGGGACAAAATTAAGTTCCGGCTTTTCTCTTGCAAATCGGGTCTTATACTAACATCTCTCCAAAGCTTTTCGTCAGTGCGATCATGCTGATTTTCAAAAATGTCACCACTAACAACAACGGTACCTAGTTTTGGCACATTTTGCACCACAAGAGAAACATCATGTTGAGTATGCCCGGGAGTGGAAATAACTCTAACCTAATAAAAATTTCAAAGGATATGAATCAACGTACATTATTATCGATTATAAAAGGATCACTAGAAGAAATTTGAGCCTTCTTGGACATTCCTTTGCTTAAAATGTCAGTGCCGACTATGATCGTTGCATGAAGAAAATCATGAAGATTTCCAACATGATCAACGTGCCCATGAGAGCAAATGACGTAATTAATATCTTGAAAATTAAGATGATGCTCAGCGAGAATTGATTTAATAAGATTTTCATCCCATGGGCAGCCAGGATCAAATAGGATGTTAAATTGGCCACAAATCAGAGTAATAGTGCAGGCGGAAGAACACAAACCACTACTAGTCATATTAGAAAATCCCTCTCGACATACGATAACTTTATAGGAATCCATCTTCTATAGACACAATTAATAGAAACAAGTCGCAGTCTATACAAAGAGTATGTCGATAAATACAAAAATAGCATACAAAGACCACAAAACCTACTAGACACCAAAACAAAAGCGTGGGTCTGCAGTTTCAAGGCTGAAGAAAGTACTTCTTGGGTAAGTGAATAAACAATTTAAGCTCTATATCGTCGAAAAATCCTTTTACAAATAAGAAAAAATTTTAATTTTCATATTAGTTTAACCATAATTATATTTAATAACGGTTACAGAAACGCAGCAGAATTAATAACAATAAAATTAGGATTAAATAAGAAATTGCCTTAAAATTTAGCATTAAATAATTTGCTTATACATATTCTGCCATTATAGAAGATTTTCTAAACAATCACAAGATATCGAATCTTTATTGAGCACAATAAGAACAAAAGTATAGAGATAGACCTAAAAAGTTTAATTTATTTGTTATTAAATTATCCATATTTTGCAATAATATTTCATCAAATTTTGATAAACGACGAAATTGTTTAATTCTACTTGATAACAGTAACTCAATTCAAAATGAGTCAAAGCTGTTAGTTGTTTGACTAATACATCTTTAATTTTTAAAACTATTTCTTTGATGTACACCTTTTTATTAAAAGGTATTCATTTTAAGATATTCAATTTAGATCGCTCTGCCATAAATAGAGGTATTTCATCAAATTGATATAGAATATTCTGACAATTTTAGTTTTATAGCAGATTTCGGTTTACACTGATACTTATTTTGAACAGCTTTCTCAAATCCCATCTCTTATCATAGTTTACTGCGCTAATGTATTAGTTCTATTACTTTTTCTGGCATGGTTTTATTAATACTTCGTATTTTAGCTAAAGTTCTTGTTCCTCGCCGCTTCTATTTGATGGAAGAGTTGGAAGCGGGAGAAAAGGGGCAACACGATGGAACAATCACTTGGGGCTTGGCGAATAGTGATGATCTCACCTTGACTACATGGAATGGTACTATTCTCGGCCCTGCTAAAACTCCATTCCAGAACAGAATGTATGAATTAGAGATTAAATGCTGTAAAGAATATCCCGACAAACCACCACTCATCAGGTATTTATCCTCCATTTTATTGTATTTATTTTTTTCTCTCTTATCTATTTCTATTTTCATTTCAAGATTCAGGACAAGAATAAATATGACAGGAGTAGGAAACACTGGTCAAGTGTGTTCAGAAATGCTTATTTGGTTGTATATTTACGAATTGATTTTCATTTTTCATTTTTTTATGTAGATTGATACTTCGAAAGTGCCCTCTCTAAGTAATTGGCATCGAGGGTTGTTTATTCGAAATGTCCTTGATGACCTACGAAAAATGATGGCTCACAGCGAAAACAAGAAGTTAGCTCAACCACCAGAAGGTTCTTGTTACTAAACTTTCCTTTGATTCCCTCTCCCCCAAACCCATTGCTAAACGTTGCTCTGCGGCTTAGATTGGTCTCCCTCATTTGACTAAATCTAAAGTGATCTTTATCAACGCTTATCATGCATTTTCTGATTTTTTCTATTGGTTGTGTATAACTTGTGTGGAAGTGGGGTATTTTCATTATTGCAGGCATTTTGGGATAAAACGCCCGGGTGCACTTTCCTCGTGCTACTTTGTTAATTATGAGTAGTGTCGATTGTTTTGAATCTTCTTTTGCTCGTTATGTCTACCCACAACAGTTTAGGTTTCATATTGGTAGTTGCTTTCAGATTTTAGTTAGATAATGGTATTTCATGTAAGTATTCTGCTTTGACTATCGGTTAACAGTGAACTCCTATCTATTTCATTGTCATATTGATCGTTATCTTCTGTAACGTCATGTGGGTCAGTTTCCCGTGAGTTTATTTTGGTTTCGTAATCTGGCGAGACTGTACTTTCTAGAGTTTAGCAAGAAGTTGATCTCTTCTTTCATTCGATTATAGTCATCATCCAAGTCGACTAAATTTATTTCAATCTTGAAGTGTTTCATTTAACCTAATTTGGACTAGCATATCCATTCCTTTTAATGTAATGTATTTGTATTTTTAATATTGCAAGATTGCCATTGGCACTTTTCTATCGTTGGCATGAACAATATGAGACGCCGATTCACTAGTGTGATTGGGCTCTTTCCTTGATCATGAAGGCGCTTTCTAATGCGCCAATAATTATCCCATTCCTTACTTGCGCTTTTATTTGGTTAGATCATGTTAGCAAGTAGGATAGGAGTCGGGCTCTGTCATCGTTTAATTGTGATATTCATTAACTTTTATTATAATTCCATCGAATAATTTCCTACTGCTGAATCTAAATGAAAATATTTTGTAAAACGTACAATTGATTCAGTCTGTACTCATCAGAATGCCCTCCTTGCTTTAAAAGAAGACTACTACTATCAAAGGATAGAGCAAAAGTAAAGAACACTAGACGGGTGTGTGGATGTAGAATTGAGAAGAAAAGAGGTTTATCGGGGAAAGGTAAATAACATAATTAGATATATGTTTGGGCGTGAATAGCGGAAGAGGTGGGACCACGAGAATAAATGAGATCTCACATACTAAAGTCGACAGTAATATATTTTATTGTTATGACTCGAATTTCCAAGATAGCGAGTTTTCAACTGCCGAAAGGTGAACAGACTTTATTACATTTTCTTATCATTATATGCGCCTCCCTCAAAAGATGACCTTGGCGTCCAGACAATTGTCTAGGCCCTCCTTTCTTTTAAGTTATTATTGATAATTGGTTGTGAGAAAGCGTTTATATTTAACGTCATTGTTTCGCGACAATTCATAAAGTCTTACTCATTGAACCGTGATCTTCCAAGACAAATTCACTACTCACTCTCCTTTTAATTCTCTTGTTTTGACAGAGAGCAGATCAATATTAGTCTTTTTGCAGTAATTGAAAGAATACTTCAGAAACTTTTAGCACCAAAGGATTAGCTCCACGGAGGCGATAGCTAATGTATCTACCTTCTAAAAATATGTTCTTGTTACCCTAATTCACCAGGAATTTGTAGTATGGCACTTTGCTCTGCCAACAACATTAACTTATGGCTCTATTTAAATCGCTTTAGTCATAAGTTATTTGATTATGATGTGCCGCAGAGCAATACATCCTACTGCTCCTATGATGCCCTCTTGCAGTGAAACCTACGATGCTTGCACATTCAATCAGCTAATGCCTTTATATCGTAAGGAGGTTTGTTAATTTTGGAAATATTGTAGACCATGGAATGTATAACGTAATAAAGGCTGGTCAATGGGATCTGGTACGAGGAAAAATATTTTGCAGTAAGCGGACATGCCACTTTCGCAACAAAACTGCTAGACTTTGTATATTTTAAGTTCTCGCTTAGTTAAATGTAAACTAGCTATTTTTTTATTAAATTTGCACTTTAGGGTTCTGCAAGTGCACCTAGTATTTCTACAAGGATAATCACTAATATTTAGCATTTCAGTAGTATCGACAAAAAGTAAGTTTCAAAACCCATTGCTCGATTATCGAGTACATGTAGCACTAGTAATAAGTTGTTTTCTACGAGAACTGCCATTTTAATGGAAAATATTTAAATTCAATTTTTTATTTGACCATTAAATGGATAATCTCAGTTATGCATATAGATTTGTTAGACGCTGAACATTTTGTCCCTAAGCAATTGAATAATGTCAATGTGATCAAGAAAATGGGGTTTTGGAGCTAAATAAATCAACGCATTTGGACAAATCAATGTCATCTCGCATGAATTAGCTCCATTCGATAACTCTTTAAAATATTGAAAATAGGGCCATGACTCATAAATTATAATGAAGTATTCATTTATTAGGCGAAACTAACAAAGATCAGTTGTTGTTCAATTGCTATTATGCAGAAAGGCAGACAAACAGTTTCTTAAAGGAATTGAAAAACCTGCATTGCACACAATGAAACTTAAGTACATTTTGATCGTGATTAGTAATTTTAGATTTACTCTTGGAGTTTCAATAAAGTAGTGTTATTTCATGAAAAATAATAGACTTTTGGCATTTTAACCAATAGTTATAAATGGTAGAATTATTATGCATTGAAATATTATTTATTATTGTTAATTTCTCTTTAACCTGCCTTACTTTAACAAGTTTTTGATTTCAAACTTACGATGAGTCAACCTTCTGAATTTCATTAAATTTATCATGACCTTCTTTTCACACTTGGCGATATTTTGAACATGGCAGGTTTGGGTGGTTTTGGCATTCGCTTTAGTCTTTCTTTTGAAATTGTGATGAAAATAATATCATTTGTTGTCCTCTCAAATTTATTTAAAATATATGCCTAGAGAATTTTTGTACAGTTTTCTATTTTTTATAGTTGTCGTGCCTCGTAGTTTTTACTTACTTGAGGAATATGAGGAAGGCCTCAAGGGTCTATGTAATGAAATCAGTTGGGGTCTTAAATCAGCTGATGACAGTACACTATCCGATTGGATGTGCAAAATTTTCTTCCACAATGAGAAGGGCAGCTTTTTCTTTGATTTGTCCGCTCATTGTGGACCCAGATATCCTGACGAGCCCCCTCAAATAAAGTGAGTTACATTTTTTTGCTACTTTATTTTGATAAAATTTTCTTTGGTTTTGCTTTGTAAACTTATTTTATGGCTATTAAAATTAAATATCGTTGGCTTTTTTCTATTGTAACATTTAACTTATCTTGAAGGTTCGATACTGCTGTCAAGGCCGATTTTGTTAACCCCCAAACACGAATCGTGAGTTTGCTGTGTGAGACGTGCTTAAATCCTTTCTTTTAGTATATTCTGTTCTGCCAAACTAACGCATTTCTATTTTTACTTTTAAATGAGTGTGATTTTTAATTTTAGGTTAATGCGCAAAAAGTTGATAGTCTTCGAGGGTGGAAGCGTGGGAAAAAATTAAGTGATGTTTTGACAGATATTCGAAAGCTTCTTGAAAATATTGCCGCTACCCAAGGCCAAAGATTATGATTTTTCATTTTAAAAATTCGAATATAAATGCCTTATATAATCATTTGAGGTGCTTGTTTTAAAGATTCGTTTTATTTCAAAGGTAAAATTAGGTGTACTTTGGTGGGCTTAATGTGTCTTTTCCGTACCATATTTTGGAGAAATGGAATGGGGCTCTAGTTTTTGCTCTTGTTTTCATGGATTAATCTTATTTACTTTATTTCTTCATCATATATTTTCCTAGTTTAAAATTCTTTTGAGCCGAGGACAAAGGTACCAGCAGGTCAATGGTTTTCGAGCTAATATTCATCCATTTACAAACCTTGAATGCAAAGGGATCTGTAATAAATTTCTTACTAGAGAACTCTCGAGATTAATAATCTCGACTCAAATTAGCTCGCCGGATTCCTAAATGTCGCGGATGGTTTTAACTTGCTAATTTTGTTTCCCGAAATAAGCAATTAAATGCGTGATAGTTAGCGTAACTCAATTGAAGTGTCACTGAGTAGGTTCGAAAGCGTCGCCACTTACCTTTTCTACTATTCCTTGCTATTCTATCGTCACATGTGGCAGTCTAGTGCTTCGCAGAAAAGAATGAGTTATTGGCAGCGCGTTCTTTGTCAGAGAGTGGATTGAAATGAGGGTAAGAAAGCCCGGGATATCACTTTTTGGTGGCTGTTAAATGCCACCAAGGTGGGGTGTAAGCTTAAATTGTGCAAGCAGTAATTTTTCTGTTCGGAAATTAAGAAAAATGTTTTGTCTACAAATTAGAATGGGCCGACTCAATAGCAATTATAAAGTCAAATAATTCACGGCGCTGTTTACAGCAGGAGACCATTTTACTAACTGACTTACCAACTTCGTATCACCTTTGGTATAATAACAATTGTATTTGGGTCGGTGGTGCGTCACTAATCATTATTTATGTTGGTCCCCAAGATGGCGAGATTTTTATGCCTTGTGTGAGATGCAGGCCACGGAATATGTCCCAAAGAAACTTTCGGAACAAATCATATATAAACTAGTTATTTTAACCACAACTCTAGTAAAATATACACATTAAACTCTTAACTTTCGGTAACTTGGGGCATCTAATGCATTGTTAGTAAACCAACCCAGACTATATGCTTAGATCGTTTTTTTCTATTCCAACCAGTTAATTGCAGAATTGTCTGCAACATTGAGGAGTTGAGGTGGAAACTCCTGAGAAAACAGTTTAACACTCAAGCACTATATATCGTCAAACTAGAGATGATTAAATAACCACTTTCATTCGTTTTCTTGCACCTCTTGCTAGATACAATTATGGAAGAGCTGATCTTGCCAAGGTAAATAAAGTTTACTAAATTTAGGTGAAAAAATAGCTAAATACTTCGCTTCACTTGTCTAAGTCACATCTTCTAATAACAGTTTATAGGGTTCGTTCTTACACTCAAATGGGGAAAAAATACAACACCACAGAAGTAAGTGCTTGAAGTTCCATCACCGTTTGCACACACACACACACACACACACACACACACACACACACACACACACACACACACACACACAGCGACAGAAACTAGGCTACCTAGCATTTCAGTTGTGTTTACGAGCTAGGCTTGCAAAATGATCGCAGACAATTAAGATGAGTAAAAGAAAAGGTATTTTAAAAAATGATCCCACCAAGACACCAGCGTGAAACTGATTTGTGACGCAGGAGATGAATTGAATTGTGCAAATAGGCTCTTGAACGCACTCTGTTAGCGCTCGCTTGCGAGTAAATTATGATATGACAGCAACAATTCATGAGGCAACATGTGATTTGAGAGCATGCAATGAAAGTATCGCAAATGGGGCGCTCCACATTAAGGTATTTTATGGAAAATGTCAATACCGTAAAGCAAAGATTTAAATTCCAATTAGATTAGGAATGATGAAGCACTAAAGGTTTAGGGAAGCATCGTAGGGTTGCTGATGTAGCTGTTGAGTAAACATCGGGGTCTAGCTTTTCGTCAGCCCTTGGTCTCACTAAATATGAAGCTATAGAGGGTAAGAATAATACACTTCAGCAGAACTTAACAGATCGACGAAGCGAAAAGAAGGAGAAATTGACTCTGGGGTCGACCTCCATGAAGGATTTGGCCGTGGGAGTTGACCAGCAGCAGTTGGATGAGAGTCAAGTAGATATGTGGTAGCAAAAAAGTAATGCTCAAGTCCTCTCAGGGGGGTGGGGACTCCACCTAAGTAATTGCAAATTGAGTCGATAGACAATAGTTATGAATAATGGAATGGCAAAATCCCAGAGAGTAAAGGGAGGGAATATTGTAGGTCGGTTGTTTGGGTCACCACAGGGCGATTGATTCTAGTTAATCGATAGTGGTCTTAATAATTGCCAAGTTGCCAAAAAAAACATTAACTTAGGTACTGGAAATAGTCAGCCGCAAAAGCTCAAGACATTTTTAATCTAGAAATAATGTTAGAAATGCGTTTCAAATGAGTACTCACTACATGTTTATCCTCCGTCATTTTCTCAGTTGTAACAATTTAAATAATTTATAATGTAATTGATCATTGATTTGGTTTAACAATTCACAGTTTACGCCTATTTATAAAGAGTTAAAAAAAGGTGAGATTAAGTGGTCCTCCCATATGTCGTCGAATTTTTGTAAAGCCAAATGAATCACTAAGCGAAGAGTGGGCCTAGAAATAGCTGACGTCAAGCACTACCAAGTACTTTGAATAAAGTGTGCACGTGCGTTGGCGTGGGGTGTGTGTGTGTGTGTGTATGCTTGTTTGGCTTTGTTCTTCTATTAAACAGCCAAAATCGTAATTTCTATGACGAAACGGCTACTATATTCGATTTTTTTTCACAATCGTTGCAATAGCAAATCACCCTGGCGTTGCTACTGCGAAAGTTGTCAGTAGTCAATGCTAGCAATCAGAAGTGCTTGAGGGTTCGTAAAACAACGAGGGAACACAAAAGTGGCCAATGAGAGTACTCAACCACGGAATCGAACTGCCTAGGAGTGCAGTAGCCATTGTGGTAAACATTTCTAGAATTTTCGTTGTCAAATAAAATTTTAAAAATTGCGAAAAATCTAGTTGTCCTGTCATGGTAATATTCAGAAACATGTTATTTACTTTTTTCAGTAGATGCAATTAGGCTGCGGTTTTTTAGCTGTAAATCTTATTTATTTTTTTACAACTGACATCTTCAACACTGATCAATCGCGAATAATTATGATTGGGATAAGTTTATCAATATTATTAATGTAATCGGGCTTAGGGTCGAGAAGTTTGCCAAGGCATTTACAGGAGGAACCAAGCATGAAGAAATCGTCTTGCACAAAAGAAGTTACCACCCAATTGCTCAACTTCTATATTATCGTTGTCGGATAATTCCAAATTAAGAACCAATGATCGCCATGATTCAGTTTGTCTACATGTTTCTTTACCTATTATGAAAAAAATGAATACCTTATGATTCGCATTCCCCTTACCAGCAGTTCTACCATCTTTTTATTCTGCGTTATTCAATATCTATCGCCTCCACAATCAGAGCTCGTATAACTATTTAACATTTCCGCTGAAAATAATGAAAATTATAACAATATTACCCAACTAAATTCATCATTTTTCTGGTTGCAGAAGAAATAGATGCAGGGATAACTAATAGTGCCGCCCCCCCCCCATCTGATTACTGTCTCATAAATAAATGAAATTCCTGATTATGAAAAATTCGCTTTGAAAAGTGATAAACCCCACTCAATATGAATACGCAATAATAACAAAAAAATCGATTGCCATAATAGCTTATTTTGCACACAAGCATTTCATATAAATAGACTTAATTCGTTTGAACTGCCTCAGACACGCTCGTTTTTGGACCTTCATAGTCTCCATCATCTTCATCTTTAGCTGTTGCCTCTTGATATTGTTGATACTCTGCCACCAGATCATTCAAATTGGACTCAGCTTCAGAGAATTCCATTTCGTCCATACCTTCACCCGTATACCAATGGAGAAAAGCCTTGCGTCTGAACATGACATTGAATTGAGAACCCACTCGTCTAAATAACTCCTGGATGGCAGTGGTGTTCCCGATAAAGGTGCCGGACATTGTCACCCCTTTTGGCGAAATATTACAAACTGCAGTCTTGACATTGTTCGGAATCCATTCAACGAAGTAGTAGGAGTTCTTATTCTGAACTTTCAACATTTGCTCATCTACCTACAAAGCGAAAAGTATAATTTTTTAACAAGAGTACCAAATCTAGTGCCAAATCAGAGCTAATCTATGTATATCAAGTGGGGAAGTGAGTCAACTCTCCTGGTTATTTGTGGTCAGCAAGAAAGATGGCAGAATGCAAGTTTCTCGCAAGATGGTTCAACTCAACTAAAGCAAAGATTCGTGAGCAATTCTCCAAATGAGCTTTGAAATTTTGTACCTTCCAAAGTCATACATTAATTTCAATCTGGAAATTACCCCGAACGGTAACAGTAAAATTGACCAATATTGGATAATATGACTAGAAAACAAAACGTTGGCTTTTTAGTGATAATAGTTAAGGCTTGACATTTTTATAACGTTCCAAGGTTTAAAGTGCATGATTTGGAGCTCAATTTTTTGGGTTGTTTTGAATTGTCCATTGACTTACTTTAATTACTCCATCATCATTACAGAATTCCATTTGGTCTAACCATAAGAACCGTGATATCCAGGTCTGTAATGTTAGCCGTAATGCTGCGGAAATATCTAAAGTTAAATCGAGCCATTGTTTCCGTCAGGTTCTGACTTCGCATTTAATAAAATCTACCATACAAAACGCCACACGTTGTCTCGACAAAATGTCTCGATTCAAACTAGCTAAGTTCAAGACAGATCTCTGCCAAGTTAAATCCTTTCTCTGGATGCACATTAGAATGATTTCTTCTCCTGCATTTACCCGGGTAAAAATAGGCAAGATTATTGACAGAAAAGTTCTTGGGATTCAAATTTGATTTATTTTACATTCTCTCAAATTCGTCTTTCAACTTCAAAATTAACTATTTTCGTGGAGAATATATCTCTTTAAGATTGGATTCCAATAAATTCACCAGAAAGTCCAGTGCATCGGTGGCACTGTGATCACAGTATACGTCTGTCAGTTCCGAAGTCATGAGATCATCGACCATTAGAGCACATCAGGTGGTCGAGGTAGCCAAACGCGTTTTTTCCACTCTCGTTAGAAAGAGAAATAGGAGAATGGAAGATTCAACTAAGAGACGCTCCAGAAAACCTTCCTTGATGAACCTGGGCAGTAAGAACCATAATTTTCTCTACTAATCCGCACTGTCATTCATTTGGAATCGGAACTTCGAATAGGGGATGCTGTTTTTTAGAGTAACTGACAGCTAACTGTTAGTAAGTTCTCAGGAAATATACTTTCAAAGTACCAAATAATCATACCACAAAGTTGTGGCAGTTAAATGTACTAAATTAGCTACTCGAGCACACAATAAAGTTGTATTTTTAACTAACTAATTTGGGAATTCGAAAAGTGGTATTCAACTTACTTCTTTCATTGACATTTGACCACGGAAGATGGTAGCGGCAGTAAGATAGCGACCATGACGAGGATCACAAGCAACCATCATGTTCCCAGCGTCAAACATTTGTTGAGTCAACTCCGGTACGGTGAGAGCACGATATTGTTCACCTACACGACTAGTTAAAGGTGCATATCCAGGCGTGAAAAAATGGAGTCTTGGAAAGGGTACCATATTGACTGATAATTTACGAAGGTCAGCATTCAATTGGCCCGGGAAACGCAGACAAGTTGTGATACCGGACATCGTAGCCGACACCAGGGCGTTAAGGTCACTGTAGTTAGGATTAGCGAGTTTCATAGTTCGGAAGCAGATATCATAAAGGGCTTCGTTATCGATGCATAAGGTGCCATCAGCATGTTCAACAAGTTGATGAACGGAAAGAGTGGCGTTATAAGGTTCAACTACGGTATCAGATACCTTATTTTCAAATAGATCCGTAGTAAATTAGACTTACCTTGGGAGAAGGTATTACGGAATAAGTGAATATCATTCGATCGGGGTATTCTTCTCGGATCTTGGACATGAGTAGAGCACCCATTCCAGAGCCTGTGCCACCGCCGAGAGAGTGAGCCATTTGGAATCCTTGAAGGCAGTTAGAAAACTCTGCATGTTTTCGAATTACTTCCAATATTTGATCAATTAATTCACCGCCTTCAGTGTAGTATCCCTTTGCCCAGTTGTTGCCAGCACCACTTTGGCCAAATATAATGCTCTCTGGATTGTAGATTTGGCCGAAAGCATTACTCTTCAAGTTGTCTATGGGGCCTGGCTCTAAATCAAATATGACTGCTCGTGGTACGTATCGTGTGAATCTCGAATCTATTTCATTAAAGTAGACGCTAGCACGAGAAAGTTGAAGAGGATTATCGCCTTTGTAGCTTCCGTCGGGTTCAATTCCATGCTCACTGCAGATTGTCTCCCAGAACTAATAATTACACCCTGATTAGAACTCGTTTTAACCGAGTTGGTTTAAAAAGATTGTATGATAAAGTTCACTTTTTGAGTATCTATTTTATTGAATATTTTTAAAAATACCTTCAAATAAATCGGCTTTAATTCAAGTATAATGAAACAATATAGACACTAATTTGAAACACTATCAGAATTCAAGGAAAGCTAACTACTTCAAAGATGAATAAAAGGTCTACATTGGTCGCTGCCTTACAGATAAAATGATGTTAATCTTTGGAATACTCAAGTATATTTCTTTAGAGAACAGATTTATTAGCAGATAGAACGTTTTTATTTTAGTATTAGTAGAAGTAAAAGTTAATAGTTTGTGGAACTCGAACGAAGCTGAACATTCTTTTTGAGCGATCATTGAAAATAAAATTTCTTTAGAAAAAATTATAGATGCAAAAAAACATGAAACCATGATTATCTTACTTTGGTGCCGATTTGATTACCACACTGACCAGCCTGGATGTGCACAATTTCACGCATTTTGAATAAAATAATTTCATTGTTTAGTGATTTCATTTATATATACACTTTTAGATCATAAATTTAGCATGTGATCCAACTTCGAATAGGAAACGTCAAGTAAAATTTGCTGATTGGATCTACGATTAGGGCAATATAGAGTTTGAAGTAATTAAACGATTCGATTTTTAAATAATACTTCCGTTTCTGTCACCATGAAATTTTTTAAATCAATTTAGTATCTTGATAAGATCGGTCTTTACTGGTGACAGTCTTAGTTAAAGGGCAGTAATTCTAGTTTGAGTATGAACTGTCGTTCATTACACAATACTTCACTCCATTATTCTAATTCAGAATGAAATTTTTTAGAACAAATCCGATCTATCTCTGGAGTCTCCTGTATATAATTCACATCGATCGGCCTCATTAGTTACTGTTAAAATGTGCTTTCCGAATAGTAATCGGGTTTGAATATACCGATAGTCATGCAGTTTATCTAGAGATGCCTTAGATTAATGAATCAATCTTTTACAATTTTGATATTAGTTCAGAAGATTAAATCAAGGTACACCGGGATTCGTTAATTGAAATCTCAGGGCTATAGTCGCAATCTGGGTTATTTTTTGCCCTCTTTAATTTGATTTCATTTCTCGGATTTTAAGTGGTCTGTGGCAACAATTCAAAAGACCGAGGAATCGATTCGACTACGAATGAACAAAAATTATTTGATCGCACAAGACCTTTCATTCATATTTCAATCGCTACAGGAAGGGGTTCCAGACAGAGAGATTTGCTCCTTAAAATAAGTCGAACACAATTAGTTTCGCTACTAGGTAGAAAAGAAGGCTCCTCGTAGGCGTATTGTCCATTCCTTAATCATATTTCATTTGACTTCGTAAATTGTTGGATTTATGTTAGTCGGGTTCTGAACTCTTTCAGACAGAAACACAAGGAATGGCCATACGGCAGTTTATGCCTATTAATTCATTAGGCATTTATCTACAAGATTTGAAACAGCTGCCTTTTAAAAATATGCGACTCCAATCATTAAATTCGCTGTGACCTCTAGCTTGCCCAATGCCTTTATTCTATCGATGGATTCCGAGTCATTGGTTGACATCGATCTAGGTCAGTTATCGAAAAAGTTAACTCGAGAGCTCAAATCTAAAGACTTCTACCAAATTTGTATCTCTCTAGTAAACATGTTTGACCGTTCCGTCGACTTCTCATTCTGGGTAAATTTAGCCTGGTCTTTTGAGCGTGCCAGAAATTGTGATTTACAACCTCAGAATTTCCGTAAGAAGCTTGATATTGTTAGTGCTGTGAAACACTAACGGTATGCTGTGAAAAACTTCTTCACAACGATATGCTCTGTTTGTATAATTTCATTTCTTAATTCAAAATACCCAGGAACCATGCAGCCTGTATCACCCATGTTATTAACGCGTGTTTTCGTGAAAAAGATTGTTATATCGACTATGTTGCCATAACCTCCTTTAAAATGAAGCTAACTGAAAAATACGTGGAAAGTAACCACATTCTCTGGCTCTAGTTTGTAATTTCTTCACTTTAAAATCATCACCTATACAAAGCTACCAACTAAAATGAGTAAAATGGCCAATGTATGCAGAAATAAAAGTCAATCACTGTTTAAGAAAAGTGACCTTTGTTCGCTATGAACATGGACATTATTAAGGGTGCTTTCTAGGGTTAATGAACATCAAATAGTGCTAAGAAGGGCCAATTTAGTGGATAACATAAAGTTTCACTAGACAACAGCAATGCAGTTAAATTAAGGAATACGAATTCAGATTTTCCTAATCTGCGTCTTGAATGACATCTTCGTCCTCATCAAATTCTCCCTCGTCCTCCGCAGTTGCATCCTGATATTGTTGATATTCGCTCACCAGATCATTCATATTAGACTCCGCTTCAGTGAATTCCATTTCGTCCATGCCTTCACCAGTATACCAATGAAGGAAGGCTTTGCGTCTAAACATGGCGGTAAACTGTTCACTCACGCGTTTAAACAACTCTTGAATGGCAGTACTATTGCCTATAAATGTTGACGACATCTTAAGTCCCCGAGGTGGGATGTCACAAACGGCGGTCTTGACATTGTTTGGAATCCATTCGACGAAGTAGCTAGAATTCTTGTTTTGAACATTCAGCATTTGCTCGTCAACCTGTGAAGTGAGTAAAATAAAGCCTAAAGGCCAATGGCTATTCCCTCATTGTTCTTATAGTAAAAGCATGGAATTCCGGAATAGCATAATGGAAATATCTAACAAAATTGAATGCCATACAGATCGTCCACCACGGACAATCAGAAGGCATAGATGTACCAAGACATGCAAAGTTACTTTCACAATTCAATCTAATAGGCAACCAACTCCAAACACTAAGAATAGAAGTTGATATAGGAATACCCATACGCTGAGTTGTAAGCTCAGAATTTCTAAACAGAATGCAAGGCCTGAAGCGAAAAGTGTCAAACCTAACTGAAAAGCATTCAACCTTTAAAGTCAAATGTTTTCAACCAAATGAGCTCAAAATTCAGTAGAACAGAATTTCATCTTCTCCATTTTCTTCATTCTCTACCGCCCTTCCGCGTTTTTTTTTCATAATTTGCTTATTACTAAATGAGTAAGCGTATATCCTCATGGAGATTGAATATAGCAGTATTCATCGCAATTGACCAAGATTTATAAAAAAATTAGTGGGACATGAAAGACCTCAACAAAAACAGACTGATATCTCATTTTTTCCAACAAAAAAGTATTATTTGGCTATCGACAGTATTACTGTTTCTCTTCTTCAATGACCAACAGGATTTTCCAGTGATTGAATTCTTTTACAGTACACGCATAGTTGAACTGCCACATATCAGAATCCCACAATCAAAGGTGTCGTTACATTTAATCCGTGCCTCCTCAATGGATCTTCAAAAAGCAAGTGTAAATATTCATCTGAGTTGAGTATTGAAAGTCCCTAAAAACCTAAAACCAAGAAAGAAATCTATCTCTTTGAATAAGCGGATATATGACTAATTTCAAAATAAAGTTGAATTATTTTAGAAGGAATATTTTTTTAAATTTGCAAAGTCTTGGGGACCGCCTATATGAATCAGGATCGTCTCTTTCACGAATAATACATCTGGATGCATTCACTAGCCTATGCCAATTTTGCTAAACAGGTGAATGCATTATTAAGGCACTATCTGCCGGTTCCAATTCTAATTCACATTTTTCACCAAATCACCTAAGGTGATTAGCAGAAGACATTCCGAAATGGCAACTTTCCCCAACAAATAACTAAAACTACTTACACAAATCGGGCCTTAGATGACATTAGTCATTGGTGTTAATCCTAATCTCAGCCTTAGTTTGGACATTAAACGGCATTGGTCCTGAGTACATCTCAGCAAACTGCAGACACCACCATCGTGTACAAGCATTTGTCGTGAATACTTAAAAATTGAAGATGTAAGGTGAAGTAAACAAAGTTGCATCATATTTGTTGCTAATTCATAATCAAAACCTATGTATTATAGGTGAGATTCCAATCTAGGGTTCTTCGATCTTTTATTTTACAATAAGACTCACAACGGCCAATATTTTTATCTTCAACCGACGAGAACTTTCATTTCTATTTATGGGGTTTTTTGGTGAGACGCACAAGTAAACACTGACCTCCGTCTGTAAACAAATGATAAAGGCCATTTTATCCCATGAATTCCTAAATCTTACCTCTTTCATCGACATGCGTCCCCTGAAAACTGCAGCGACGGTTAAGTAACGGCCATGACGAGGATCACAAGCAGCCATCATATTTTTCGTATCGAACATTTGTTGAGTCAATTCTGGTACTGAAAGAGCGCGATATTGCTGACTTCCTCGACTAGTCAGCGGTGCAAATCCAGGCATGAAGAAGTGGAGTCTGGGGAAAGGCACCATGTTGACGGATAGTTTACGAAGATCTGCATTCAATTGACCCGGAAAACGGAGACAAGTTGTGACCCCAGACATTGTGGCCGACACCAGATGATTGAGATCTCCGTATGTTGGGTTAGTGAGTTTCAGAGTGCGGAAGCAGATATCATACAGAGCTTCATTGTCAATGCAGAGAGTTTGGTCAGTGTTTTCAACTAGCTGATGCACTGAAAGTGTTGCATTGTAAGGCTCCACAACCGTATCCGATACCTAGGAATGGTTAGAAGAAATATGATTCCACTTAACATATGTCATTTCATTATCCACCCAAATTTACCACATGAGTTTTAAACTACTTCAAAACTAATGATTTTTAACTCCTCTCAGGCATCATTCTATCTGCACGTTTTACTGTACTTTTCTTCAAACAGAAATATTGCCTCTTCGGCCCACTCAGTGCTTGGTAAATTAAAATTAATAAAACTTATGATAGGACCAATGTCAAGGTGAGTCTCCATATGTACATTTAGAGGGTATAATGGCGTAGTGGAACTGTCTGGAGATTATGTAGTGGTTTTTGGACAAAAAATATTTCTGTCCGTTTAAGAAGTAGTCACTAATGTGTACTGAATGTTTTTTTCCGATTTCGTAATTTTTATAACTCCTGACTAACAATACCAAAGTAACCAACACCAAGTGACTCTTGGTAAATGGAGAAATTCAGACTAATTCTTCTTAAAACGGCGAAATTATGTCATTATTACACCCATAGTTCATATTTGTAAAAGCTAAAAGAGACTTAATAATTCTTCTCTACAAATGAGAAAAGCGTATCATTTTCGTTAGGGAGAAATATTTTATAATTTTCTCCTTGATACTAGAGTACCCCAAAAAAAGTATAAGTCAATTACAGACCGCATTGTGGAGAGCACACCACTAACATGGCTGAACAAAGAAATTCCATGCGCAATCAGACAGCCTGGAGCCTACGACCGTGGTGCTGTCTGCGTTAGGGAACTTGTGCGATCGTGCATTGTTAGCTTAGCCAAAATGGCATTTTAGTGACTAATTTCTCTGTGTAAGTGGCAAACAACCAGAATACAAGGTATTCACATCATACGCTCTGCTCCTTTGACATTTTTGAGATTGATTGGCTGATTTCAAGAGCAATTTCATGCCAGCGAACTTTACCATAGAGAGATTCTTGAGGTTTTGTCCGCTACTCACAACGAAA